TTACATTTGATTTTTTTCCTCCATTGAGTTCAAGATGGCATGTGTCACTCTTCCTCCCCCTGTGCCATCACAACCACCCTACGAGGTAGATCAGTCTGAAGTTCCCATGGAGTTCCCGTCTCTAGCATCCCATTAGCTTTCTTATAGAATTATATCATCAAAGCTTCCAGAAATGCGGAACAACAGCACTCCAGACTTGAAGCAACAATGCTCAACTTCTACAAAGTAAAACAAAATCACCCCATCTCACCGGAGTGATTTAGTGTCTCTCCTTTCTTGAATTTTCACTCGTTTATTTTGTTGCTGGGGCAACATCGATCAAGTAGCGTGTTAAGTCAAGTGCTTCGAATGCAAATGGGAAAAAAAAACTAATTAAATCTGTTGAAGGGGATCGTGATTGAGCAATTTACTACAAAATGATGAAAAGTATATATATTTTTTCTTCCATGATGAATAGCACTTCAGTCCTATTTATGTATCTCTACAGATAACAGCCTTTTATAATTCCTTCCATCACTGCAGTAAAAATGCCATGGTAAACTCCCACCAGAAATGTAAAATATTTATATTTTGTCCAGCAGTGGAGTAAAAATGGTTGTAGCAATAGAACATAAGAAGGATTGCTCATTTTGAACCCAATGGTCAGTTCACACAGCAGCTTGCAGTAGGATGGGAATAAAACTGCCTCCTCCATATCCTATGCTTAGCTAGGCCTAGCTCTGCCTAGTTTCCTGTTCAGAAAGAAAACTTGCATCAGGACAGGAAGTAGAAGCTTGGGCAGAGCTAGGCCTAGTACAGCCTCTCTCCCAGGTGAGCCACAGTTAGATATCATCCAATAGGACTCCCAGAAGAGAGAATTATGGGATTTATAATCCTAGAATTTTGAAAAACCCGGTCGTTAAGAGGTAGCCCTAAGACACACTCATAGAACAGCTAGGAATGAAGATGATGCTTGCTGAATTTCTTGTGCTCGTTTGCTTTGAGGAATCTTGACAGGAAGATCTATCACTGTCAGATGCATCCTTTCCAATGAAGATTGGCACCAATAGCATTTCCCTCCTCCCTCCACCAAGTCTCTGTACTTTGAGGACTATGTCTCTAGACGCTGACAATGCCGATTTTTTTTTCATTGAGAGCAGTGAATCCCCTTGGGTTTTTATTCCAAACTTTAGAAGAGGTCTCCAAGCTGCTGATCCCGTTTTTGGGGAGAGGGCTCGGCATTGCGGCAAGCCCTATGAAGCGTGGGCTGGAAAAAAATCAGTGCAGATTCACCCCATCCCCCTCACAAAATTGGAGTCACCACCAACCTCGTCTGAAACGGCCCCATTCAGCCATTACACACTTTTAACTGGGGAGAGGAAACACCCTGCTGTACACCCTTCAGATATTCCTATATTTTGGACTAACTGCAGGAAGGCAGCAGGGAGCAGGCCTGGTTGAATTACACCCCCCTTTTCTCATGGCTGGGAATCCATAATGCCTGCTAAGAGCAAAGAGCTTCAAATAAAGATACTTCACATTAAGTAAAATGTAGAATCGTCTTTCCTTATCTTTTAAGCTCTTTGGATTCTGTCTAGCCATCCATGTCATGTCCTTTTTCGAAGAATAAAGGAACATGTCACAGCTATTTCCATTCTTTGTCCTTCTTTTATATTCCCGGCTATCAAATGTGATAGTAATTATTTCTAGAGACTTCAGCTGCCGTCGCGTTGATAGAGTACAGACAGATCTGAGACACTGTCTAGCTTTTATGGGCAGCTGGAGGAGATGATGGTCGCTGATATTTGATCTCAATGAGAGCTATCATGCTGGCTGTGATTCTAAACAAATTATGAGTGAATCCAACTAAATTCTGTATAAACCTTCAATACAGAAGTGGTTGAAAAAAGACATGAAACTTTCAACTAAATAAACGCAGTTCAGTGCGATTTATGCTGGACCGACCAGGGACAGGGTGAAATTATAAGCTTCATTGGGCTCCTCAGATACTGAGAATACAGAAAGGTCTAGAATCTGGGGAGAGGGGTTTGTTTTCTAATTTGATTGTGTAATTTTAAAGCCATGGTCCAGCCATCAGGCAGCAAGGGGCAGGTAGCTCCGATGTCAGTAGGGCGGCAAATCCAGTCCATGTTTTCACTGGAACCATGCATTGATTTCCCAATGCGTTCAACCCTTGACCCAGAGTGAGATCAGCACCTCGGATAGCTCCCGTCATGTTCTGAGCCAAAGCCAGAGCTAGCTGGCAACCCCACTGACCTTGAAGCCACCAGTAGCCCCTTCGGCCATTAAAACTCCTCATCAGTCACCATTTACACACTGGACCATAGATTCCACTAGGGTGGATTGCTTGAAGGACATGAAAGACCCATCCTTACGAAATGTTCTCTTTCTAGGCTACCGGTTTGTAAAACTCCCTTTTGGAACTGGTCTATAAATATCCATTCATTTCCAGCGGAATTGCAGGCTCAGACAAAAGAAGTCTACGGTTCACAGTGGCTTCCCTGCTGTCCTCAGGAGCTGGCTTCTTTTTCTTCTGAAGGAATGCGAGCAGAGAAGGAACAATTAATTTTCATAGGCCAAGTTGCGGATCAAACAGATTGCACACCCGGCAGTCCCCGTCTCTCACCACTCACACCCATCAATCCCATTTCACTGAACAATTACAGAAACCAGCATTTCCTGATCGAAGCTGGACAATGACAGATTCTTGCAATGTGACGAGCTCTTCCCAGCTGCTGTTTAAAGGGCCCCCAAACTGAAATTAGAAGGACATTCATCACTCTAAGGTGGGGTAGATAAGAGATAATGGAGCTGCATTACTGCTGGGAATACTCTTTGCAGATTTTCAATGTTTGGATGAGGTGGGGTTTGCTCCTATGAAGGTGGAGTGGTTTTTCTAGATGTCTTTCTAGATGTCTTTAAACAGAGCTTGGGAGGTTTTTTTCATTCATTCATTCATTCATTCATTCATTCATTCATTCATTCATTCATTCATTCATTCATTCATTCATTCATTCATTCATTTCTCCATTAATTTTATATGTAGTTTTCCATCTCCCATACTGGAAACAGTTGCCATACTGACTGGGGGATAATGGGAGCTGTAATCCAGGAGATAATTTTATCCAAGCTCTGGATCTGAACAATGTTGTTGCGGCCAAATTGGGTGTCTTCTGTAAAGCTCAATGAGCAGGCACATTGTATGCTCAGTGCAGATTTTTGTGGTTCAGAAATGCAAAATCATCTCCACAAGGGTGGAGTGGGTAAGAGAGGGAGGAAATCATGCATTATTTGCTGAGAACAAGCCCAGCCGATGGATTAGAGAACAACGGGAAAGATGCTCGTTATGTGACAGATTGCTACGGTTCTTTGGGGATTAGTGCAAAGTGATTCTTCCCCCCTTGGCTTAATTTCCACATAGTTGTTTGGGGACTTTACAGGTATACGTGGAGAGATACACACCCCTGCATTGGCACAAAACACAGCCATTTCGTGAATCATGTAGGTAGACTCTTAGAGGGTGGATCAGCGGTGGTCTGTGACCAATCACTGCCTCTTTCAATCCCCGTGCAGATTCCCGAAAGCCAGCCAAGTTCCTTCAGCCCAGGAGGCAAAACAATCCTGCGATGACCTCCCTCTATCCTTTCCTGTAAAAACCAGAACAGTAAAAAAATTAAATAACTAACAATTTGCTGCCTCTTCACTGCCTGAGGGGATTCCTGCCCCCCCACCTGTGCCCATCGGTAGGGCCAGCTCTTAGTGTGAGCCAGGAAATCCATTTTTCCCCCCAGCCAGGGCAGACTTTTAGAGAAACACAATGAATCAAAGAACTCTAGATCTGAAGGGAAGCCAAAGGTCATCTGGTCCAACTCTTTGACTGAAGCAGCCATCTACACCTAAAGCATCCTTACTAGATGGCCATCCACCTTTTGTTTAAAAATCTCTAATGTCACTTTCTGAGGTTGTCCATTCCGTCGTCTAACAGCTCTTACTGCCAGGAGGTTCTGGCTAATGTTTAGTCCACATCTCCCTTTCTTGAACCCACTGGTTTGGACCTTACCTTTTGGAGATGCAGAAAAGAAACGGGTACCACCTTCCATGGGGCACCCCTTCAACGATTGGAAGAGGGCTACCGTATCTTCTCTCTGCCTTTTTGCCTCCAGGTTCAAAATGCCCAACTCCCTCGAAACAACTCGTGCGGCACTTGCCAAATCTTTATCAGAGTGGTTTCGCAAGCTGTGTGCCACGATGCCCTGGGGAACAGGAAACCCGGCCAGGGGCACCATGAGATCCTCGGAATGACAGTGGCCAACAAGTCAAGGGAGCCACGACCCTAACCATTGTTGGAATGACTGCCTTATCTTCCCAGTTTCCCCTCCTCTAGGCACATTTCAGCCGGTCAATATCCTCCTTAAACTGGAGCCCCCGGAACTGGGCACTGTATTCTGTGCAGAATCTGACCAACCAGATTCTGAGAGGTACCTTTCATAATAAGCCACATTCTTAAAACTGTGCTATCTAGTGAGTTCCATGTATGGCTTATACTCACTGACTTGGCAAGGAGCACAAGATACGAGGGAATTAGAAAAAAATGAGCAACTGCCTTTCTAACTGGAAAATGCTGAAGGTCACAGAAATTCCTAGAACAATTAAGATGAAGAAGGAGAGCTGCTATTGCAGTAGAATGAAAACAATCGAGGTTAGCTTGTACATGCCTTTTAAATGTTGCGATTTAAATGGATTTTTCTCTTTGACCTTGCCGGTTTTTACAAGGTTTCGTTTTGTTCTCTTCTTTTCTAGCATCCTTGATCCAAGGAGATTGGCAGCCGAGATGGTCTTTTGCTTACTCTATGTATATTTTAAAGATGCTAAAGTTATCTAATGCCAGCTCAGCATTCGGCATGTTGTAGCAAGTGGGAAGGATGTGTCAATTGCAGCACAGAAGCCTAAAATAATGGAAAGGTGGAGTGAAAATAATATCTGTTGTTTTTTTCCTGTAGGGGGCCCTATCTTTCACCTGTCGGCCTGACCCAGGGCATATGAGAAAGAAGCTTTCTTTAAAGAACAGGAGCCTACCCTGTACCACTGGTAAGTTTCTTTCTTGATAATCTAAACCAGAAGATTAGCATTGCCTATCTGGGACTTGCAGGATTTTGGTGCCAGGGACTTTTTGAAAAGCCGGGACACCACCCACCTCAGATTTTGCACAAAACATCACCATTTGCCTAGACTGTGCAATTCTGGTAAGCGTCCATTTCATGGACATTGAATAATATGAACCACTGAATGGGTTGCTCGCCTCTTTTTTTAACCCTTGGTCAACCCTTTCATTACTTGTGTGAGTATGTGTGGGTGCATATACAGTTGGCTTCTCAAGGAAAAAGGACATGGGAATTCCATGGGTTCATTTTGAGCAAGTTATGGGTCACTTAAAGGCTTGGGGGGGGGAAACCCATTGCTTCTCAGCTGGAGATGAGGAAGCTGTCAAATTAAGAATGCAACAGTATCTTTCACACCCATGATCCGCACTTGCCTTAATTTTCATCCATCTGATAAAAAACATGTTGGATTCCATGGATTTCACAGCGTGCTTCACCCCTTCCCTCCCTTGATCCTCGTTTGCAGGTGTAAAATGATGGTAGCAGTAGAAAGACACCCGGTTGTGGAGAGACGTAAGCCATGGATGGACCGACCCCCGAACCCCCCAATGTCGATTTGGACAAAGGATTAACGCTGGCATGCTTCGTCTTCCTCTGCCTCTTCTTGATTGTCATGATCATCCGTTGCGCCAGAGTCATCATGGACCCTTACAGCGCCATCCCCACGTCCACGTGGGAGGAGCAACACCTGGATGATTGACAGGCGGTTGAGAAAGAGGCGGGCAACCGGGCCAAGCAAGGGAGAATGAGCATGGACCGGCCTGTTGCTCCGTTTGGATGACACCGCTTTTTCAAGAAGCATACGGCCACATCAGTTCCTCGGAGAGCACAGTTTCTTGGTCTTATCAGCTGGGATGCGCCCTTGCGTCCCTCATTCTCCAGCCCTATTTCTATGGAATGACCTCCAGGTTTTAACGAGGAAATAATAATAATGATGATGATCGTAAGCAAAGTAGCACAAAAGCTCTCTAGGCACTAAATCCTCAGCTGAGCTTTTTCTAGTGGAATCTCTCTTAAGCACCTATTCCCTCCATTTAAATCAACATCTGTGATTTGGAATGGCACACAGACCTTGTTCAACATAGACCATGAACACTCAGGCGTAGATATCAGGGTATGAGGGTTCAAGATTTTCTTGTTGACCAAAGTGGGAGAGGGAGGGAGTTATTTCAGAATCGATTAGCAATAAAAAAGGCTTTTGGGGTGGGTGGGTTTCTCCCCCTTCAGCACAATAACTATACACTATAAGGTCGATTGCATTTTTTTTAAAAAAACGGTAACAGAACAGATGTCAGCGTATGAGAAAAGGATCACTATTCTTCCTCCGCTACTATTGTGCAGTTACGGCAACTTAACTGGTGCCATAACAGACCCACTGAGATAGAAGAGGCACCAGCCATGCCCCAGAGATGAGGAAATTTTGTGGGGTTGGATCACCACTTGTGGAATATCCAGCCAGTGTGGCTACTAAGGGATTCTTGAGACATAGTCCACAAAAGTTACTTTTCTGATTCTAATGAGCAAGGGCAGTCTTAACTGGACCGCCTTCAGGCCCAATGCTAATTTTTTTTCGCCTGTCCGGCTGCCCTTAAAGGCTTAGAGGATGGAAGATGGAGGCACTAATGCATTCACTTGTATTGCTTCTTCCTTTTCTAAAGTGGCACAGTTTTCCTGACCCTCTGGAACTTTTGCCCCGGAGGCTGGTAGGGAGAAGGGAAAAGCCAACCTAGATCCTTTTCAATACCTCCCCTGCTGATCCTTCTGAATCTCCTCCTGCATCCCATCTCCAGAGGTTTCTCCAAGGCCAACCAAGTTGACCACGACTTTCCCTTCAAAGAGGCGTGGAAGTCTCACATCTGCAGGAGTAGCTGCTTTGGGTCGTGGAGAGGTACTGGTGCTGGCCTGCATGAGACCAAGTGCCTCAGCAAATTTTTATTTGACAGCAAATAAAATAACATTGATTTCCAATCTTCTCATCGCCCCGCCCCACCCGTTCCCTCCAGTTACTCTCAAGAGAAAGGAGACCTTGTAGCAAATGTATTACTTAATAAAACAAATGCTTACCAGAAAGTGCTGTGTCATCTAGTGAGTAGAGCTTTTATGTTGTTTTTGAAAAGAGAAACACGCACCGATGTTCTGTCTTCGGCACTCATTAACTCGTCTTCTAACACATCCTCACTCCGGATCTGGTGGGAAGTATTGGTTTACGTCCTGCACTGTAACTCTGGAGACCCAGCTTCACATCCAGACACTGCTATGGTGCCTGCTCTCCTTCACAAAGTTGTTGCCAGCATAACCAAGAATAAAAAAGCACCAGAAGTGGGAAGAGATGTGAACACAATGAATGAAGAATCCAGCATTCTGCAGGATGGGTATTTTTGGACTACAGCTCTCAGAACTGAATTCTGGAAACGGTGGTCCAGAAACACAAATCTCTACACCAAATTTTGGGGGTGGAAGGAGGAGAAGGAGGAACCATGGAATGTTAAAGAAGAAATGAATGGAGAGAATATAGAAGTGGCAGCAGGCACCTAAGTTTCGAAAAACTAACCTTAGCATTTCTTTTCCTGCTACATGTTCCCATTCCGATAATAATTTCAAAGGATAAGCCTTTTTTCCCCCTGATACCATATAAAGTTAACTCTTAAATGATGCTGCCAGCAAACTGCTGGATAGCTCAATGCTTTAGGCTGCAGGTTGGGAGTTCGATTCCCCCATGGGGAATCAAACTCCAGAGGGATCCAGAGGGTCCCTTCCGGCTCTGCCGTTCTAAGAGGAGGAGGATAATCAAGGGCAGAAAGTGTGTTCTAACTGAGCCATGATGCAGATTTGAATTTACTTTGTAGGAGAAAAGGTTTCTGGATCCATGTGCATGGCTGGCTCGGGGTCTAATAACCTACTGCCTAAATACGGAAAAAGGGGGCTGAGGTTTGCGCACCTGATTTCCAAAAAGAAGGGGAAATGCTTCTCATTTTGCTTGCTAAACAGAGAGGTGTTGTTAGCACGCTTTATATGCACCCAAAGTGATTTCTGATAGATATGAACAGGACCAACACACGCTTCCCCCAGTGTTTGAGCTTGGAAGTCTCCGGGTGTGAACACGGATGTTCTTTGCAGCTTTAATGCTGCTGCTTAACTAATATTTGTGTCTGCATCCTTCACAATATCTTCCAGGTGGGGTTTCCAGCTGCTGAGAGGGGGGGAGATTGATTTTACTCCTCGGGTACCGTTTAGAAAATCCAATTCAGTGCCAGCAAAGAAAGCAGCAACCCTGACAGCAGTCATGGTGTCTGATTCAGCCTTGGCAACATTTGGACCGTTTCCCTTCCGTAGTGCCGCATCTTGCGCTTGTTTCAGTGCATCAACAAGAAAGGGATGGTTTTTGCAATCTCTCAGAGCCAGCTACAATCTCTCACGTTGGAAACGATCCAGCAGAGTTTTCTCAACTCTTCAATCTTCTTTTTTTTTTTCATTTAAAGACACCATCTGCAAAACCAGGAGGGTAGAATAAAAAATGGGAGGAGGCAAAATAATTGAGACCATACATTACTAATGGATGGACATATACCGGGGGGGGAGTGGGAAGGGGGGAAGACTGACCTCATAGGCCAGTCATGTGGGGAAATACACATACTTGGAGTGTTGTTGTTGTTGTAGACACGCCATTGTGAGAGACGAAACATGGCCAGTGAGTTTAGCCAGGGATATTGGCAAGTCTTTGTGTCCAAGTCTGAATCTTTGGTACCAAGTCCAGAGTCCCAAGATCCAAATTTGAGACCCTATGAAAAATANAGACATTTTTTGGGGGGGAACCCACATTGAGTCAGCAGAGCTACTTAAGTCGGAGTTGCCAGCAAATCATGTGACACAAATCCCCATCCTTTGAATTAGCTTAGCCACTTCCTCTTTACTGATCCAAACCCCACAGTTAGCTGGCTGGATAGCTCAATGGTTTAGGTCTCTGGCTGTGGAGTCAGAGAGTTGGGAGTTTGATTCCCCCACTGGGTGCCTCCAGTGAGTAGAGCCAGCCTGGGTGGCCTTGGGCCAGCCGCACAGTCCCGGAACTGCCCCAAACTTCTCCTGAGCATTCTCTGCCTGGAAAACCATGAAAACGAACTTAACGAGCACATGATTATTATACCGTCAACATACCCCCATCAGGTTGTTGTGAAGCAAGGCTGCTTGCAGATCACGCCGGGTGAGGCCAGGCAACCTCAGAATTGTACGGGTGGCCTGTCTGTAATCAATTTATGCAAAATGTTTATTATACTATTGGCTACAACTCTCAGAAATCCTAGCCAGCACAGCTAGTGGTGAAGGCTTCTGGGAGTTGTAGTCCAAGAACATCTTGGGGACCACTGTCCTCATGATGGGTTTCCATGGCTCCTGGGAATGAATCCGTGGTTGCTAAATCAATCGAAGCCTGAAGGGTAAATATACTTTTTGGTCTCCTCTCTCTCCATCTTTGTGAACAGATTTGTTATTAGATGCAGTAAACCTTGATTCTCCACACCCAGCTTTATCTCAACATACCGTGTTGGGCAATAGCTTTCCTCAGACAATAACGTGACACAGCCAGATCCGATGACATTGAAATATAGCTATCCATCACTGGTGACAGAACCTCATCAGATACTGAGAAATTTAGGAAGGAAATACATTTCCACAGAGACAAACAGGAAAGGAGAGCAAATACTCAGCTAGTTGTTCATGTTACGTCATCAGCCGTATGTATAGCACAGCAAATCGCTTGTCTCTCTGAAGAGAACTTTTATCGTTGCTCGTTTCCTGGCATTTCCCGAGAAAGGTCCCATTTTATGGGCACTGTGTTCCATCAGGATTGATTTATCTATTCTGTCACATTTCCTTCCCATTAATCCTCATTTAAAGTACATTTCTCCCCTCCTTGACATGATGGGAGGTGGTGCGCATTGCAAGCAAATCTGAGCACGGTTTGCACTGGGTGAAATTAAAGAGGGCCAGAGACAAGCTGCCGGAAGCCATCACAGGAGAGCCGCTGGGTTTTGCCAGGCAACATATCTATTAGAAGAAATTCAGGTTCATCACTGACTGAAGGAGAGGCATGTATGAAAATCTCCTTTGGTAGCCACAATGGCTAGTGATGAGATAGGATTAAAAACGGGAAACACAACGACGAGTCTATTAGGCAAGTGGCACCAAATGTCCAAGAGGTTTTTGCAAGAGGCACATAACTCAAATTTATTGTGTATGTGTGAATCCACGCCATGGGAGCTGGCCAATACATCCAGCACCTTGGATAACTCTTGGCTCGTGTTGGCCTTCCGTCACTACAGATTATTGCTCTTCACCGATGTCTCTTTTTCATCATCTTCTCAACCATCTCTTGGAAAGGAGACATCTTGCTTTGGTTGGGGGGGCTAGAAGGGGGGGGCTGCATGACTTCTCCATCTCAGGATGAATTAGAGCTAGGGTTGCTACCCCCATCTGTGACTCCATGTTCTTCCTATCATAAATATTAGTTCGCTTATTTTCCTGAGGAGAAGAACTCCGGGCGAGATGGGACGTGTACTTCACTAACCTTTCTGATATTCAGAGGTTTTCCTCTTCTTACTAACTTAGCAAGACTGCGCTCTGCTTATGAGGAATATCATTGATATGGCTGTAGAATTTTGGGAACATAACACCTCAAGATATGTCCAAGAGGCCTACTTTCTGTTTATTCGCCACAACAACAGGCTCAGAAATAGAATCAACTGCAATCTTCCTTCTTTATTCCTTCCTCTCTCCTCTTCCCCGCCACCAGGAGACTCTCGAAAGAAAAGCCTCAGACGGGTTTCGCTGGGAGCACTTTTCCTGAACATTCACCAAAACCGACGCGGTAACCGTTGCCTTGGCAGTATCCTGTGGGGTGGAGGGAATTAAATACAGATTATTATTTCCCCTGATGCACGCAAGCAGATTTAGGAGACAGAACAAAAAAGGGACAGGAAAAATACACAACCTAAAAGACTGTAATTTCCCCTGTATGGGGAGCTGTTCGTTCCCCTCTATTCAGCACTGGTTAGGCCTCATCTTGAGCGCTGTGTTTGTTTCTAGACACCACACTTTAAGAAGGACGCAAAAAAACCAAACAAACTGGAGCCAGTTCAGAGGAGGGCAACAAGGACGATTAGGGGACTGGAAGCTGAGCCCTAGGAGGAAAGGCTGAAAGAATTCAGCATGTTTAGCCTTGAGAAACGAAGACGGAGGCGAGATAGGAGAGCCCTTTTCAAATATTTGGAAGGTAGCAGAATGTGTTCTCAATCATCGCAGAGTGGAGGACACATAATAACGGGCTTAGGCTACAGAAAGGCAGATTTAAGCTGAATATCAAGAAACACTTCCTAACTGTTAGAGCAGTACAACAATGGAACCGATAACCTCAGGAGGTGGAGAGCGCTCCAGTGCTAATAGAGACCTTCAAGACGAAGGTAGAGAACCATCTGTCAGATCTACTTCTGGATTCCTGCCTTGAGCGAGGAGTTGGAGCCGATGGTCTTATAGGCCCCATCTAACTCCGTGATTCTATGATTCTATGACTGTGGGGACGACTTAAAATGGTGACTCCCCCCAGAAACTGCCATTTTGATTCCCCATAACACCTTGGACCACAGCTACACAGCGATAAGAATTCAAAATGGCGGCTAATTGTTGGGTGAGGGAATGGCTATCCATTGTGGGTAGACCGGGGCCAGAATCCACAGTGGATCTTGATAGGACGCGGAAGCTCAGCTGAACCACTACGCATGACGACGGCTCTCATTCTGCCTTCCTGCTCCGGAGGACACTTACCGGTTATAATGACCTCGTCTCCATCTTGCAGAAATTTCCGCGTTTGGCCGTCCCCAAGTTCAACCGTTTTGGTCCCTTTCCATGAGAGTTCCAACATGGAACCAAAGTTCTCAGGATCCTTTGAGCAGAATAAGCATAGGAATGGGGGCATCAGCTTTCTGCAGAGTTGTGGAGCTTCAAAAAGTTACTTTTTTTGGATGATCGCTCCCAGAACCCACTCCAGGTTGCATAGGGTGTTGCCTTCTGGAAATGGTAGCCTCAGCAATAACTCAAAAAGGCAGAGCACAACGGACTCTTTTTTTACTAAGGTAAAGCTGTTGGAAATCTCCAAGCAGGCTGTTCAAGCAGAACAAAAGCCTCCCTCACAAAACCTAGTGAAGTGCAAAAATGAGGAGAAACAGGAGCTAGGGTTCCCTCTCATGTGGAAGAATTTTTTTTTAAATCTGCCACCATTTTTCTTTTCCAACCTGCCCTGGGAGCAAGCCGGCAACTGAGAACACTCCCCTGGTGATTATAAAGCCCTGATGATTGCAGCTCAGGATTAGACCTCCCTAACATGCCGCATCTGGGGGGCACTGGGAACAGAAATTAGTGTATTTCCCATGGCTCCCGGCTTCCTTGATGCACCACCGATGAGCAGCAGCGTAAGGCTTTATGGTGGGCGTTGCTGGCTGTCTCTCCAGCTCCTGGAAAATGCACCGAGCGTAGGAGAGCCAAGAGGTTGCGAGGCTACAGAAAGGACCAAGATCGCCAGCCTCTGGGAAAACCCTCTTATATGCTGGAATGTCTGATTTGGACCAAAGTGCCCAACTCCAGATCCATTTCAAACCAGATCCAGATCCCATAAGGTCTGGGGTACAACTGAGTCTCCACATCTGGATTTTAGATGATGAGATGCTTACGGGTCCACTGATAGTTCCCGATGCCAGGAGGTCTCCAGGTCTGAGGTTGCAGCCATTGACAGTGTGATGAGCCAGCTGTTGCTTCATGGTCCAGTACATGTACTGTGTAGAAAGAAGACGTTTTCTAGAGAGATTTAAAATATTGGGCACAGATAACAAGAGGGGCTTAGGACCCCATTTAAGACAGGATTTTCTACTCTGGTCTCTGTGATCAACCATTTCCCCTTCAGATACTGGGTTTCTTTCAAGATGCATGCCAGAACAATTAGACTTGGTGATTAAGCCCTTCTTTACCTTCCAGTAACCGATGGCAAAACAAAGCACACCCCGTGCTTTTTCTGATACCTAAAAATCGACCCTGAAAGACATGTCTTACCTTAAAGTTTGAACGACAAAGAGTAGCCGGCTTCTTCATCTTATCTCCTGAAAAGGAGGAGACACATTGTCTGCTGTGAACTTTTAACACAAAGAGGCACCTGAGACTGAACAATGTAGCTGATGAAACTGGCATTTATATGAAGCCTGTTTGCCAACTTCTACCATAAAATGATGCCCACCTGACCTTACAGAAACTGCTACCCAAAGAGTATTTGAATTCGTGCCCCTAAAAAAAATCAAAGAGCTGTCCCCATTGTCACACCCTGGACCGTCAGAGTAGATCCATCATCCTCCATCCAGCGTCCTCAAGAACTAGAAAACCTTGCATAGTCAGGGCGAGACTAAGGGAATGTTGGTCCAATACAGCTTTATGGCATAAGCTTGGAGACTGTCACATTAGGCAATCTTAAATGATGGCTTGGAAAAGTTACTTTTTTTTGAGCCGGTCTCTGGCCATGCCGTCGGAAACTGTCTTCGGACAAAACGCTGGCTAGAGACTGTCACACTAGACAATCCTGAACAATGGCTAGGAAAAGTTACTTTTTCTGAGCCAGTCTTTGGCCATGCCATCGGAAAGTGTCTTCAGACAAAACGCTGGCTCTACGGCTTGGAAACGGGGATGAGCACTGTGCCCTAGAGTTGGATACAACTGGACAAATTGTCAAGGGGAACCTTTTGACTGTAAAAGAAAGTAACTTTTCCCATGTCACGGGACACGGAGTCTGCCCTTGACCGTAAAAGAAAGTAACTTATCCCATGTCACGGGACACGGAGTCTGCCCTGAGAGAGGGCAAGTTCCCCTTTTTCCTTGAAGGGAACGCACGGCAGGGTTGTATTCTAGGAAAGGGTGTCGTACCTTTAAGAGCGACAAAGAGGTTGATGTCAAACGTGTAAGGTTGGTCATCGCAGAGGTAAGGCAGCGGCTTGGGGTCCTTGAAAGAACAGAAGACATGCCAGATCATCCCTTCTAAGAACAGACCCAAGCTGGTTGAAGGCCAACAGGTTTGGAAGTCAAGCTGAGCTCACTCAAAAAGGAGACCAAGGGGAGAGAGGGTAGCACTTCCTAAAAACTTGAAAGGTCGTCAGTCATACACTGGAGGAGCACGATCGGTTCTCAATCATCCCAGAGTGCAGGAGTCAGTCAAACAGAGGAGGGGCACGATCGGTTCCTGATCATTCCAGAGTGCAGGACACTTTCATAATGGGCTCAAGCTACAAGTAACCAAACTTAGGCTGAATATCAGGAAAAAAACATCTTAACTGTTAGAGCAGTATGACAATGGGACCAATTACTTTGGGAGGTGGTGAGCTGTCCATTGCTGGGGGCATTCAAGAGAGAACTGGACACCCATCTGTCAGATCTGCTTGGATTTGGATTCCTGTCTTGAGCAGGGGGTTGGACTGGATGGCCTTCGAGGCCCCCTTCCCTCTCCGTGATTCTACGATTCTAATGGAAACATGTTAACCATTCTTTCCAGGCTCTTCCACCAATTCCCGGAACACCTTTTCTACTCATCACCTCCGAGTCGTCTGCTCCCGATTCGCTTACCTGGATGGGATTGGGCAAGGCGAAGCTAATGGAAACAAGTTAACCATTCTTTCCAGGATCTTCCACCAATTCCTGAAACACCTTTCCCGCTCATCACCTCCGAGGCGCCTGCTCCCGATTCACTTACCTGGATGGGATTGGGCAAGGCGAAGGGCGCGAGAGCTTCCATCGTCACCACCCACGGCGAGATGGTGGTGCCGAAACTCTTGCCCAGAAAGGGACCGAGAGGGACGTACTCCCACTTCTGAATGTCACGAGCTAGTGGAGGAGGAAGAAGAAGATATTGGGTTGGGAGAGAAGAATTCAGAGCAGTACAATTCCAGTCCAAGGACTGCGATCAAAGATTCTTCCGACTTTTCAAATCAAATCAATCCATTATCCCGGCATCTCATGCATTTACCTGACACATTTTTGGCTTGACCTTCAGTCCCCTTTTGAGATCATACCTCCTACCTCCTGCTTTTCCCCCCACCTTCTGGAATGCCCCTTCTTCCAGCATCATTCCCCAGGATACACCCTGCCTCCTGTTCAAAGGCCATCTTCTCCCTCCTCCTTTCCTGTTTTCCTTCCTGCTGTTCCTCCCCTCCCCTGCCCTTCTATATGGGTGAAGACCATGTCTGGGTTTAGATTCCCAAATCAGAGCCGCGTATGTGCTGGGTCGAGTTCAGAGGCACTGGGAAAACGGAGTTTGGCTTTATATGTAATTTGGATGGGAGTGCTCAACTGTCGGGCAAGGAGCCGAGAGTTCGAATCCGGACGTTGCCCACTGAGAAAGGAGCCAGCTGGGATCACCTGGCGTGGGATCACGTGCCCAGCCACCTGTGTAGCCTTGGGCCAGCTGGAGACTCTCTTTGAGCACCCCCAGGAGGAGGGGCTGGCAAACCACTTCCGAGGCCTTTAAGCCAACGGTCCCCAACCTTGGGCCTCCAGATGTTCTTGGATTACAACTCCCACAAGCCTGCACCGCCACCTCCGCTGGCCAGGATTTCTGGGAGTTGAAGTCCAAGAACATCTGGAGGCCCAAGGTTGGGGACCCCTGCTTTAAGCCCTAGAAAACCTTGGGATGCTCATCCTCCAGCACTAACACCTAGCAAGACGTTTCCTCCCACCACGGAAACAGAGAAGCTCATGTTTACCACTCCAGTCGTTCATGAGGACCATCCCGAAGATATGCCGGTGAGCTTCGTTGATGGGAATCGGCTCCCCAAGTTTGTTTCCAGGACCTACAAAGAAAGCCTGGAAGACACAGGAAAAGATCTCGTCAGGAATGGTAGAGGCCGCCTCTAGAGACAGAGGTCAGATGACCTTACTTGAAGGTCACACAGTGTTGGAAGGAGGCCAAGGAGAAAGCCTTAAGATTCTTTAAAAAGGGAATCGATTCTGGTGCATCTCAGGCAAGGAAGCTAATGAGGCAAGATGGCCAGAGAGAGGGGGAGATGCTGGGGGACTTCCCTGATTGATTGGAACTTGCCAGCTACATCTTTGGCTGCAGGGACTAATCTATGAATTAACAGGCATTACTGATGAGGAGATGCAGCCAAGTCGGCTCTGGAAATGGCCTTCAGCCAGTGGTCTGGGCTTGAGATTTCTTCCTCCATGTCTCATCCATTATATTGAGCAGATTCAAGTATGGCAGCCCGTAGCAGAGGGATTCTGGGAACGTTAGAAGCCAAACCAGGAGTCCTGTTTTTAGACTCAGTTGCCAAGAATCACAGGATCATGGAGCTGGAAGGGGAGGGTGAAGGTCACCCCGCCTATCCTTCTTCCACAGCGGATCCTGGAATTCTTTTGGAAATCCATCTCAGGAAAGGAATATTTAAAACTCAGCCCCTTGTGTGTTGCCAAAATAAAATAAAAAGGCACAGATTGGTATCAGGGATAAAAAGAAAAGAAATAGCTCAGCGGTTTAGGCACCTCGCTGCAGAGCTGAAGGTTGGGAGTTTGATTCCCCCATGATGCCTCCTTCATAGGGGCTGGACTTGATGATCCCATAGGGTCCCTTCCCTGCTCTGCAGTTCTAAGAGGATGATGATGATGATTAAAAGAAGAGTTGGGTGGGGAAAGAAAAAGCGAGAGGCTATAAGAAAACCAGCTCCTACCATCTCTAATTCAAAATCCAAAAGTTTACACGCACCAAACACTGGAGGCTTAGCTGTAGTGGAAACACAATAAAATATATATGTTGAAAAAGGGCATTGTTATTTTCGTCATTCTCTGAAAGGAAAAGGCAAACAAGTGTGTAAAATGCATTTTGTTTGTTTGTTAATGTGGGTCATGGTAAATTTTAAGCTTGTGCAAACAACCTCGTGTAGCGTTTGCATTAAAGGGGCAGTACAGAAACCAAGTGAATCAAATAAATAAATAAATTTTTAAAAATGGTTGTTTCCATGTTTTTGTTGTTTTTTATTTATTTAAATCACTAAAGAAAATAAATATAAATTTAAAAGACACATAACAGGACAAAGAATATAAATATGGGGGGGGGAGTTAATAAACACAAATCAAAAACAACTAGTTCTTTCACTAAAGATTCAAAAAGAACCAAAAAAATGTAAAACAATTTCCACCCTATATGCCTTTGCTGCCATACACTGAGTCACTGCCGTATTTAAAAATAAAACCACACTCCGTAAGGGAAACTAAGAGACTCACTGTCATCGGGTCGCATTTGTCCCGTCGGCCTCGGGATCGGAGTTCCAGATACGACAACTGAAGAGGCCCGGCCGTGGTATCCAACTGGTAGGTGCAACCTTGGCAGAAGGAAATCCTCATCGGTGACCTTGGTACAGTCGCACCAAATCTGTCTGTTCCAATTTCTATAAAGTACCCCGTTCTCCTGCTCCCAATCACAAAGAGGATCTAGCCTCTCGCATTGCCAGGAATCTCTGCAAGGATATTCACTCGCAAAGCTGCAAAGCTTTTTTATTTTTTGGCAAATCATTTCTCCCCATGGCTGTACTATGTGTGCAGTTTATCCAAAACACCCATGATTGTGCGCAGATTTCCCCGGGGTGTCCTCGCACACTGCTGTGAATCACGGGTCAGAGCTGCAGAATTCAGAGACGGCCCAAACCTGAAAGCCGGCCGAATCCCAGTTTATGTTCCCAATCAGGTCAAATGGGAATCAGACTGCTTCATCTTAGAATGCCAATCAAGATCACTTGTACCGTATCTCTTGGGATTAAGCCATTTCAGGATTCAATGCATGGCACAGATATTATCCCGCTAATAATGAACGGCCATTCCGGTCTGCCCAGATGACCCCAAATTAAGGTGGCGCCAAAGGTTGAGTTGGAGAAAAACCAGCTACTGACCAGTTGGGCATGAGAGCATTCTCCTTGCCCCGGAACATCACCCCGACATTGGTGGCATGTTGACGAGAGGAATAGAAATCCGTATAATCCCCTGGAAGGAGACAAATCGAGACGGGATTTTTGACTGCAAGTAGGAATGAGCAGCCGGGTCGTTTGAAACCTGCTCCCAGTCTGGAAATATGTGGACCACAAACCACACATAAAGATGTCCTTCTGCTGGTTCCATGAGAACCAGCCGGACGATCTCTCCGCGTGGACCTGTGCAGTTTAATTTTCATGTCTATGCACTCTAAACCTGGAGAGCGCAATGCCTGTTTCCTCAAAGTCTAATCTTTTTTCTGTTTCTAGACAGAGAAGAAGGCACGATCACATTTTTTTTTCCTCGTTGGAGTGAACGAAAGTCAAATTCTGTTCAGCGACTGCCCCCTGGTGTCTTGGATCTGGCTCTGTTGAACCAAACTTTTCCCCTTAGGTTATTTGGAGAGACATTTACTCCTGTATTTTCACCATTGCAGTGAGAGGAAGTGGAAGATTTGTTTGTGTGTGTGCCTGTGTGTGTGTGATGGTTTGTTTTTTTAGCGCACACACCCTGCAAAACTTTTGGGTTATGCAAAATTGGCGCTCTGTCCCTGGGAGGTAGTATGGTCTCACAACTCACAATGTTTACTTTTTAAAAAAGAGCTTTTTTGATCCTAAAACAGTCTCCCCCCCCCCAAATAAATGGCTAATCGCTGACGGCTTCTGTGGGCACAATTAGGCAATTTTAAGCAGCAGAGTGCACACATTATTTCCACCTGCAGCAAAAACAAAATGTGGAATTATATACAATTCCACATTTTATTTTACAGCAGGTGGAAATAACGTGTGGGATCTGGTGGCGACTGGAGCTGGTTGGAGTAGAAGGGAAGGCAGCTGACAGTGGACCATGGCCATGCATACATAGACCCACAGGCCGTGAGGCAGGTGGAAAAATAGAACTTTCCCCCAAGTTAGAAATAATTCGAACCTCCAGCGGCTGCCTCTCCTTCATCTCCCTCCTCGTCACTCTCTCTTACTCACACCCTCACCCAGAGAGTTGGGCTGGGAGTTTAGAAGGAAGGGGATACACTCTAAACCCAGAAAGCACAAAGCTTGTTTCTTCAAAGTCTAATCTTTTTCTCTTTGTAGACAGAGAAGAACACACAATCACAACTTTTCTCTCTCATTGGAGTGAACGAGAGTCAAATTCTGCAATTTGCAGAAATTCTGCAATTTGCAGAGATTTGAAATTCTGCAATTTGCAGAAATTTGAAATTCCGCAATGTGCAGAAATTCCGCAATTTGCAGAAATACAGGATGGGCCCCTATCCTGGTCTGGAGGCAAGCCGGAAGGGGTGCCCCATGGGTCCTCTTGGACAAGCAGCTACCGGGTACACTCAAAGTGCAAAAAAGATCTTACCAATATCAGCTGGAAGGTGCATGAGAGCAGCAGCTTGAGGTATGAAAGCTCTGGAATGGGGGAAAAAAGAAAAAGAAAGAAACCATAGTGAAAATTTTGATTTCCAAATGATATTTGGCCTCTTGTAACTTGCCCACTTTTGTGACTTTTGCATAATGGCTGTTGAAAGGCTATTCATCATTTATTCTTTCAGCCATTTTAATTTGCTTCGCCACTGTCCATTTATATTGCATTATGTCCGTATTTATGTACATCACATGGACATTTTATTGCATTTTACCCAATAGCACATAAATACCTAAAAGAATACATATATACCTTCAACTATGGAATGTGGGTCTCCGACTCAGACATCAATCACCCTGAGACTGAATTTTGCCGAATTACGTAACCAGCACAAATCATTGGATTAAATACATCCTATTTACCCCACCATTCCTATCTTCTCCAAATTTATTTTGCTTTGCTTGTCAAGCTGGGAAACTAAGGACCTAAAGCGCCATAATCTGACTCCTGGATTTCTTATTCTTACACCTTTCCGGCTTCCCCAGCTTGTCAAACTAGCTTAGCAACATCATTACAGCTCTCTCCAAATGGCTCAGAAAGAGAGAAGGCAGCAGGGGCATTTATTTAAATAGGACAAACCATGAGGTCTAGAAACATGTTTAAAAGTCCACTCGAAAAAACTTTATTTTAAAAGGAAGCTGGGAATCTTAGGATCAGGAAAAAAACAAGCAAACCTAAAATGACTCCTCAGAAGTACATCTGAGATCTGGGGGGTGGGTGGGGGGAGACTGCCAGAAGAAAACCTCATCCTGAATTTTGGGGGGCGCTTGCTTTTCTGCCTTCCCGCAGACTCAATACCCAGCTCTAAGTGCTTCACCTTTTACGCAGCTCCGTGTTATCTCTTAGCGTCGGCTCTTTGGCCGAGAGTAGCTGCTGGAGACGCATCCGGGCTTCCTTCCATGCTTCCGAGCCCAGGGCCATGAAATGATTAAGAGTTGGCTGCAGAGAATGCAAAATGAAAGCAATTGAGTACACTCCCCGTGTGTGTGCTGACCCACAATTCATACACAATATTGGGGGACGAACGCAACCCTGTATTTGGACACCATAAGCCCAACATCAGCCTTTCCCCCCGTCAGAACGGGAAGCTGCAATTGGAAGACATTAACACAGGCCTGGCCCTACCGTTAGGTAGAGAGAGGTGTCCACCACCACCACCAGCAGCAGGAAACGAGAGGTGGAAATCATTAACATTAATGGTTCGCAGCATGACTGGTGTCTATGTCAAACCACCAGGAACTGGTGGTGCGACAGCCAAGGATGGGTCTTAATAGCATCAGGGAGTGGATTTTCTCGGGGTTCAAAGTTATCCTTATTGCCAGGGAAAAGATTTGGGAATGGGTTACTCTTGACGAGCTGGCTGGATCGCTCAATGAGCTAGGTTTCCAGCTGCAGAGCCAGAGGTTGGGAGTTCAGTACCCCACTGAGCATCCCAAGAGAGCCAGCCTGGGTAGCCTTGGGCAAGCTTCACAGTCCCGGGATGAATTCAGAAGAATGGCACAGGAAGCCACTTCTGAGTACTTTCCACCTAGAAGATTCTGAAAAAAGGTTCCCATAATGACTCGGCGGCACAAATTAATTCATTACTCACGACGGGATACTTCAGAACCATCGGCTGTGCAAAACACGCGCTCCTGGCCGAGATCAAAACTGGTAGAAACGCTTTGTTGAAATGGGTCAACGGTGTGGCTACTGTCATGAGAAACCCCTGGACTTCAAAACGGAGTCAATCTTCTGAATGCATTACCTGCTCAAAGACATGGCGGTGCTTCGAAAGGATGGGTCCATCAAACAGGTGTTTAATAGCACTGAGGTCCAGCACTTGGTCGCCGATGGCTACCCCGATCCTGTGTCTGGACTGCAAAAGTGAGGGGGGGAAAGGTTAGGTTTTTAGCCAATCATCTGTGACATCAATGAAAAACCCACAGCCCTCGTTTCTCTCCTGTTACTGATTCCCAGGCTTCTGGAAAAGGACTCTGTACACAGCTTGCAAAAAGTTACTTATTTTGGACTAAAGTTCCAGAGTCTACCTGCCTCCGAGGCCCCCCTGGGTTGGCTCTGGCAATCTGGAAGAAGCGGTCCAAGGGAATAGTTCTACAGCTTTTCTCTTTGTATCTTTAGCCGTGCTTTTTGACTGGATTTGAAGCCGCCTCCCTGATGAGGGCAAAGGTGGAGGAGACAAGCAGGACCCTCGAATCGAGATCTTTCTGAATCACGAAACTCTTGCCCTAGAATGTTTGCTCAGCCCGGGTTTGTGCAAACAAGCCTCGTTAATGCACAACCCGCCATTGTGCCAGCAGGCCTGTTGCTCCGGGGGTAACATGTTTTACAAAACGCCAACATGCTGGTGAAGAAGGCATAGAAGAGGCTGTATTTCCTGAGAATGCTCGGGAAGTTCAATTTATCTCAGCATTTATTTCTGTCCAACTATCGTAGCACCATCGAGAATGTCCTAACCTATGGCATTCTCGTATGGTTTGGGAGCAGCTCTGTAGCAGACAAAAAAGCTCTACAGAGAACCATTAAAATTGCCCAGAACATCATCAGGCTCCAACTATCAACCCTGGGTGACATCTTCACATCCCGCTGTCTGAGGAAGTCACACAACATCCTTAAGAGAATTTTCCCCTCCTGCTCACAACTTCTTTGAACTGTTGCCTTCTGGCAGAAGATACAGAACAATTAAGACTCGGACCACATGTTTTTCTAAATAGTTTTTATCCCAGATCTATAACGGCACTTAATAATGAACTTAAAGACCACCACAAGTGAACAGTTGGACCAGGTTACTTAGCCTGCGGTGCAGATGTTTGTGTTCCTAGTGGGAGATTTTTAGTAAATGGGGAGCATTTGGGGCATTTTTTATGTGTGTGCATGTGGGTCTGGTCTCTGGGTGTCTGTGT